CTCAGCTTTGCAGTAAGGGAGCTGGTTAGAGTACCTCTCATGGAGTTGCCATCTGTCAGGCACAAAAGTTGACAGAGGGCAAGTGGTGAAGAGGGCCTGCAGGTTTTGATTTTTGAAAATTACTTTTAAACTGAGTCATTCCCCTGTGATGATTCTTTTAAATCACATTATGTATTAAAATGGGGGTGTAAGCCAGAAAAACATGCAGCATACCATCCTCAGTAGGCACCCAGCAGTGCTAAGAGCAGCATGGAGGCAGTGGTATCTGCAGCCTCTCAAGAATGTCTTCTACTCTTTTAATAGTTCTCCTTGGGGAGAGGGGTGTGGAGGTTTGTATCACGTATCTTTCTCCTGTTGCTGAATCAAAAATAGTACACTGAGTCATTTGTTACAGGCAGTCAGACAGTCACCAGCCATGTTGAGCACACATCCCACTGCCTGCTCTGGTCCAGCTTACCCAAGGCCTCCTTCACACAAGGGCCTGCTCACCTCAAATATCGGCTTTGCTTGAGTAAGGTCAGGTGTGCAGCACTGATTAAATCTCTCTTTCTGCTGCAGCACATGCTTTCAGCAGGTTGGCAGATTACATCCTTTGATCCAAAAATCCACTGAAATGGGTGGGAATTTTTCTACTGCTTTCCAGGGCAGTTGGGGTTTGAGATGTCCACCTTGGAATGGGGCAGCTGGCCTTGGATGAATGCGAGGCCACACAGGAACATGCACTATGAAGAACATTAATCTGCTCATTTTTAGTGGCAACACCAGTATGACTTTGAGCATGGGGAGAGAGAAAAGTGTAGCCATGGAGCCCAAAATGCAGGGATTTTGAACCTTCTTCTCCCTCAAAACAAAGCCAAAGAGCTAAACCACTTTCCCTTCCCCAGGGATCTGCAAAATTAACAACAGGGAATAATCTATGGTAGTTTATTGATATATAGTTCCTAGGAATAGACATTTTTATGCTTTGTACAAGAAATCACTGTGCAAGTTGCAAGCCTGGCAATTTCACAGAGGTTTTTGTTTTTCTAACATCTATTTTATTTTTGTGTTTTATTTCCCAAAACAGTCTTGTGTTTTATCCCAAATCAAAACAATCTGTGCCAGCAGCTCTACGATAATTACCTTTAGGGGGGGATCAATGTATAAAGAAAGAGTGGAAGAAGAAGGAAAACATGAGGAAGCAAATTCAGTTTTCAAAGAACTATTAATTATTCATTAGTTTTATATTAGTAACTATTAATAAATAACTAACCACAAGAAATCAGTCACCACAAAACCCTCCTAACACTGATTCCAACAGGGCTCTCCTGGGACTTGTACCTTGCTCAATGCAGAGCAGTACTTACCCACCACATTGAGCAATACTGACCGTACCCAGCTTGCGGGCTCGCCTTACAGAGCAGTCTGAATTTTGACATTGACCCCACTGCTGATCTATGCTAGCGTGTAAGCCCTGGCTTTGTTAAGGACTTCTATACCAGCCTCTCCTACCTGCTGTTTCGGTCTCTGAACTCTTCATCTCAGCATTGCCACACCTTTGCTGGTGTGAAGAGCTTCAGAAGAAAATAGGTTATTACTTCTTGACATTGTCTTCCCACTGTGTTACTTGTGAATTTTAAATATATTTATTTTGTGTCCGTCTTCTGCCTTCATGCGCAGCCTCTTGAGTTCACTTCTGGTTTGTATCTATTTTACAGGGACATTGTCCTACTGAAGTACACTGTTATAATACTATAATTCCCACCTGCCTTGGGGGAGAAACAGACAAAGTCAGACCTCATTATGCTCTAATTTTGTATACATATGTCACTTGATTTCATTAGGAAACACAACATGAAACTGGTATGCCAGTGGCTATGTTCTCACTCGCAGCCACTACAAGTATTTTAAAACTACAGCATGTATCATAAATGTTCTACAGTCTCTGTTTCTGATTAATAAGCTCTGGGATCCTTCTGTCCATTCAAGCCGCTTAACAAACTGTAAATGCACTGAACAGTGTGACCTGTGCATACAAACTGGAAACGGTCTGGGCAATTCCCATGGGCAACAGTTGGTTTTGCCACACCCTAAGCTCAGCAACGGGTCACTGCAAAACCTACGGCTTCCCACTCCTTGTGTCCACGTCCTCCCATCTCAGGGCAAGCCCTGGGCATGTGACCTCCAGCTTCGCTCACACAGGTTTATGCACAGAGGACTTGTGGAGAGGTAGTGGCGGTGGCAGCCACAGGATGCTCGCCCCAGCTGCCCAGCAGGATCCCAACTGCGATACCAGCTACTGAAAAGCAGACTTAGGCTGAGAAAGTTCAAAAGCCCACTCATTTTGGACTTCAACTACAGAAAACACAGCGTTTGCTCACTGCTAAGAATGAGAACTTTTCTACATCAAATGTTAGCACTGACGCCTTCTGCAGAACCTTCCTACAGAGAATGGGGGCGGTCAGCATAAGTACTTCTTAAATTTCTGATATTTGTGCTCCTTTGTAAATGACACAATGAAAGGATCCTTACAAAGAAGTAACAACCCTCGTACAAAATAAATACACTTATTCTTCTTTGCTCTGCCCCTGAAGTGCTTCAGGCTATATTAAATGGTTGAAGAACAGAAGAATTTGAACTTACAAGAATCCTAAAATTCAAAACCACCAACACATTGAAATAATTCGCTATGTTCATTTTAATCGTACAAATCCTGCCTTCCTCATAATATTGTGATGTTACAAGACTTCAGAAAATTAGGCAGATTGTTGTAAAAGAAGTGACATAAGAGGCAGTCCTGAAAGCAGCCCAGCGAATGTAAACTGTTTCCTCCCATCTTTCCCCTCGCATCTCACAGTAAACAAAGAGAATTTTCTACCTCTCTGTCACACAGATTTCCCTGAGGGAAAAAGAGGCTTGCATCAGTTCCTGAAAATAGTTGCATGGTATGCTGCTGAAATTGCTTCACATCTAGGTCAAATCATGAAAAGAGCTTTAAAATGCTACCCAAGCTGAAGACGATTTCTGCAAGAACCTTAAGATGTATCTTACACATTCAATAAGGGACCAAGGAGGCTACAGAGAAGCCAACGATTTCAAGCCACTGGAAAGCTAAATCTAATATTTTATCTATGACTCTTGTGAGAATAGAGCAGTGGTATTGTGACAAGTGATAAAAAATAATGAACTTTCAAAGGAACAAAGGTGTCTGGGAAGTGCAGATAGCTCTGCTGTAAGTGCCCTTCCAATGGGTGATGGAACAGAGGCAGTAAAAGGGAAAGCTGCAAAATAACAGGACAATTAGACTCGGTCTTACAGAAGAAATTTAATCATCAAAGGCATTTAATCATTCCCTATTTTAAAAAATAGGAATTTTTTATTATTACAAATGTAAAATATGCCTTTCCAAACTTTCTTTGCTGACTTTGTTAATGCTAGTTTGACTGTCTTTTCATTGTGAAACAAGTACCACATTTTTAGAGCTGTTCACAGAATAGTACTGGTGTACTGGGAATCTGAAAACTGAACAGGCATTTATTCTCTTCACTGGCAGTCTGACAATGCTGACACAGGTCTTCATAAAACTGAAATACATAAACATTGAAAATATAACTACTATTCTAGAATTTTGAAACAACCTTTGCTTTTACCCAAACATTATTTCATTGTATTATAGATACCTGCAAATATTCCATAGTTAAAATGGAAGTTCTGTCACACTTTTGAATGAATTTGTCTCATTCTTACACTGACAAGGCATCGAAAATTTGCCGTATTATTGCTAACACAAACCATTTCGGGTATCTGTTGTGAACCACGTAACACACAAGAACCTGATACTAGAAACTCCTTGAATGATTGAGTTCAAAAGTAACGTGGTGCCTCTTTGCAAGCCTTATGCATCCAGGTGTTGTATCAGTCCTGTAATGCTTATTTAGGTTTCACTTGGACAACACTGTTTTACTTGAGTGGCAGCTTGCCCTGTTAACAGCACACTGTAGTTAATAATGCTGTTATCTCCTAATAACCCTGCATATAACTAAAGTTGCTGCTGTCACTAATATTCCCAGGCAGAGGATTTACAGGAGTGTGCTACAGGGAATTGCTCCCGTTGTCACAGCGGAGCTGCAGGGGTGAACATGGCTCCTTCATGTGTGCTGGTAAATGCCAGGTCTTGAATTCAGCAAAAAACCAAGGCAGGCACCAGCTGTGTTGGGAGGTCAGGATGTAAATGCAAAGGGAATTGTTTCGCCAGCAGGACTATGTTTTGTGACACAGCATCCCAGAAGCGACCACGCTGCCTTACACACCCCTCCTTTCCTAAGCACAAAACCCTTGTCATCTTCTACAAAAGGGAACGGAGTGAAAGGTTTTGCCTACTGCATGCAGATATTATCTCAGCATTCAGCATTGCTCTTTCATTTAAAATACCTAATTCTATTTGTATTCCCTGATTATCTGACAGAATTCACTCTGATCTAAGGGAGAGATTAATTTTTTTACTGGCTATCTTATTGCCATGTAGCTGGGGTTGGGGGGAGCAGTTGCTTCTCTTCATTTAGAAATTAGAATACAGAAATTTTCCTATTTATAATCAATTTCAGTTGTATACTATCTGCCACTTTTTTAAAGGCAAAGCATTGCTTACTATGAGAAATGTACAGTCCAAAAAAGTATACCTGAATGTTTTATTCTGGAAGTGTAAAGGGTTTTAAAATAAAGACAAATAAATATTCAAATACATTTCATATTGCATGTGGTAGGAGTGGCTCCATACAATACAATATGGATGAAGCAAATCTGGCAGTTAGTTTTGAGACTTTGAGATATAGAATATAATACATAGACACTTCCAGATCTGGTGTTGTGTCATACATAATATGACCTGACCTTTTTTTTCTTATCATTTAAATTCAGCCTACTTTATTAATATTTTACTTTGCTATATTGATTGCTCAAGATAGAAAAAATAGTTTAAAACAACTGACTTTAAGACACTGCAAGACCCTCTGTATTGCAGTCTCTGAGGATAAATACATTTATTTTTTGAGAAAATATGTCATTACCTGCAGATAAATCAATGCAAAATGATCGTGCAATTAAATAGGACAGTCTGAATTGAAATTTAAAGCTGCAGACCATGATTTCCCTATTCCCAGTGCTGCTTGAAATCTCCCACACCTTTAAAAAAATATAATTAGCTTTAGAATTATCCCACAATAAATAACACCAGAACATACCTTGTGCTACCAACCTGAATTTAAAAATAAAGTAAGAGGCCACCTCAGTGTTTTGAGTTTATGAGATCTTTCAGACACAAAGTCCTAACAGAGTTTCCTAGTCAAAAGGCATCAGGAAGGCTCATCACTTAGGGTAAACTTGGGCTTTAGCTTGACAGACCTCTTCCTTATTGTGCCTTTAGGGGACAATGGCATGGTGTCCATAATGCTCTTGTCCTCTTCCAGCTGCCTAGCCGTGCATGAAGGGGTGGGCACTTTCACTGTGTTGCCAAATTTAGAGTAGTCCACAGAATATCGCCCATCTTCCTCTGCCACGATGGGCACAAACCTTTGGCCCCAGAGGATTTCATCTGCCAGGTAGGAGGTTCTGGCCTGAGTGGTGATGCCGGTGGTCTCCACCACCCCCTCCAAGATGACGATGATCTCCAAGTCCTCATGGTGATGAAGGTTCAGGGGGGAAATGTCGTAGAGGGGGCTGTTCTTGTCTATTACATGGTAGATGATGAGTGGGGAGACGAGGAAGATGCTGTTGCCCCCCACAGGGTTCTCCATCTGGATGTCAATCTGGTTGAGGGGTACCACCTCCCCCTCCAGGCTGGCAGTCTTCTTCACCACCTGCATGCGGATGGTGGCGCTGATGATCATGCTCTTCCGGAGGTCACCCACCCTCAGCATGAAGCAGAGCTTGCCCTCCCGCAGGGCAATGACCGCATGCTTGCTGAAGATGAGCGTCTCGGCCCGGCGGTGGGCCTGAGAGGTCTTCATGAAGATGCAGCCCAGCATAATGGCATTGATCACCAGCCCCACGATGTTCTGCACGATCAGTACCAGGATGGCAGCTGGGCACTCCTCTGTCACCATGCGTCCCCCAAAACCAATTGTCACCTGCACCTCGATGGAGAAGAGGAAGGCGGAGGTGAAGGAGTGGATGCTGGTCACGCAGGGCACAAAGCTATCTGGGGCCCCTGCTGCTCCCTCTGCAGGGTCACGCTGCAGCCGGGTGCTGTGGTCTAGGTCCCCATGGGCAAAGGCAATGAGCCACCAGACCATGCCGAAGAGCAGCCAGCTGCAAAGGAAGGACATGGTGAAGATGAGCAGCGTATGAGGCCACTTGAGGTCCACCAGCGTGGTGAAGACGTCCTGAAGGAAGCGTCCCTGCTCCCGGATGTTTTTATGGGCCACGTTGCACGCACCGTTCTTGC